ATCAAGCTCTTTACTTTGAGCAACTCTTTTTCAGCTTTCTCTTGCTGATGGTGATGAATGTTAGTTTTGACAAATACCGCTAGAGGCTGTCTCATATTCTTATATATTTCAGGCCAAATTCAGGGAAATGTTGTTCAGTAACTTTTCTTTGCATCTAAGGTAGAATATATAAAATTCAGATTCAATATTTTTTGTCTCAGGCTGTTTGAACTTTTTCCGACTTAGGAAAAACAATCTTTTTCCTAAAAGTTTTCTAGAAGTAAACGTTCCTGCATTCCTTATTAATTTCAAATGGTAACATTTCATGAATATCTTCACTCTTCTATTATCAAACAGTGTAAAATGAGAGCACCTCACTCTATTACACGCATTATACTTTGGTATACTGCAGATTTATCCTTACCTGAGAAAACTGTAGGTCTGGCTTAGGCAATCTACTTGTAGGTTTAATATGTCAGGTGAGATAGGCTTGCCTTTCTCAGCTTTATGTAGTATGAATTTGTTAGGGTTGAGCAAATGCCTTTAGATCCATCTGCCTAAACTCCCAACTGAGGTGTGTTTGACAAAAGCTGGTTAGAAGCATCTCATATGACATTACTTATGTATTTCAGTCAAGTCCATTCTTTATTAAACAAAGACATAGAGATTGTTTAATCATAAGAGTTTCAAAGATCTTTAATGCTTTGCCACTTGTTTTTTTTTTTTAAATGAATTCCCAGTTTCCTAAGCCCCTGCTAGAGTCAGAAGTGGCAATAAAATATTTACAGGAAAAAAGTTATACACACATGTAGCTTAAATAGTACTGTGGGAAAGATGGTAAATGAAAAACTGAAGTCCTTCCTTTGATTTTCCAAACTGCCAGCACAATTGTGACCTTCATGGAAACGGTGGTGAATCCCTTTGTGCATTGAAGGATTCAGCAGAACAAGAGAAAACCTCAGAGAAACCTAAGCACTTATGTAAACTGTTTTTTAGAAATTTACCAGTTTGTGAAGAATACCTGTTTTATTAATATTTCATATTTTCTTGGCAATGAGGGATACTATGCCTCTCTGAGAGGGATCTACTATGGATATCTAATTGTAAGGCACTTTGTCTGAAACAGTAAATCCAACTGAATTCTCTAAAAGGGATTTGTAGCAGTTTAAGTTGGAACTGAAAGTTGTTAAAGGACAGAATATTATCTTAAATTTCAGCTGAGCAGATTTTGTTCTGAAATCAGAACAAAATATTTTACAAGTTTTAATCAGTTTAATTTGAGCTTCCAGGCCTGTCCCTGTAGCATCGAGAGCTCAGTTTAATGATTTAAACCACCTCTTACAAAAATTAACATAACACCTAGAACAACAATTTAAGATTATACAGCTAATTAATTATTTTTGTTCCTGTTAGCTCCAATGGAGTCTGCTCAGTTGCATATTTTATGGAGTAGGAAAAGATGGGGTAAGCACTTGAGTGAAAAGCTGAAAAATTATCTACAGCCCACATTCATATTCAGCTCAATATAAAAAAGTGTGTATTTATTATCTGAAGGCAAGAACACTGATCAAGTTAAAAGACTCCTAGTCCTACATAGGACTAATGTTTTAGAAAAAACACACCAAGTTCAGGTCAGATATCACCCTTCTGATACCAACTGCACTTTCTGTATTTTTTCCTCCTGACAGCTCATTTCTAGAAGACCTCAAGCTCTAATGCTCTATGACAATGTTTGTGCATTTACTAGATTAAATTATACTCCCTATTTTGTCATCACCAATGGAGTATTTCTATTATTTTTCCATTGGCAACAACCATAGAATATCTACTCTGTGTTGGTGATGGTCCATAAGTGGTTGTAATACAGTTACTTCCATTTTGGGCCCTAACAAGAGCTTGTCCCACCACCTGAAGAAAAAATCAGAAAAGTTATGTGCCTGTTTGGTTAGCTAAGAAGAGAAATGGTTTTAAAATCCTCCAAAATGCAACTCTAGATATGCAAATTGAGGCAGATTAGGCTGGTAAGATCTATTTCTACAAGTCCATGTGTAACACCTCTGCCAATTACTAAATAAGGAAATAAAGTGCTTTTGGAAGTCTGTTTTACTAAACTGGGGATCTTGATGCAATGCCTGCTGCACAAAGTCTTGGTGGCAACAAAGTCTTTAGAGCTACAAAGACTATCAGAGGGCTGAAGCAGCTTTAAGACAACAGAATGAGGGACTGAGGTTTAACTTGAAGAAGAGTCTGGGATGTCCTCACTGCTGCCTTGCTGTACTGAAAGGGAGATTACAAGCAAAAGGGGAACCAACTTTTTACATGGTCTGATTGTGATAGCACAAGGGGGAATGGCTTAAAACTAGAAGAGGGGAAATTCAGGTTAGAGGTTAGGAAGAAATTCTTTACTCAGAGAATGGTGTAACACTGGCACAGGCTGCCCGGACAAACTGTGAATGCTCCATCTCTGGAGGTGTTCAAGGCCAGGTTGGATGAGGCCTTGGGTAGCAACCTTGCTTATGACAGGGGGCTGGAATTAGACAGGCTTTAATGTCCCTTTCAACCTAAGCCATACTATGATTCTATGATTCCATGTGACTCTATCAGTGTTCAACCGAAATAAAGCTGAGGAGCATAGAGAGGGCATCAAACTGTATCAAAATAAGCAATTATAAGCCTATGTATATACTGTATATAATGTAACATAACAAACAGCCCCCCAGCTCTTTCCCCTTAGATTAAGCAGCTGTGCACCCCTGTGCTTCAACTTCATCAATTACATGTTTTGAAAATAAGGTCTGAATTTTCTTGTTCCACACAAAACCAGAAGGGTATCTGTGGAGATTTACTGCCAGAACCATAACTGCCTCTGTGGACACACTTATTTCTTCCATCCTCATGGGGAATTAGAGCAGCATAGTTAAGCTGGTAAATTTCCCTATTCAGACAGGCTCAGACATCTCAAGAAACACAGCTAAATTAAATACTTCTCCTAGGGGAGCAGTATACATACATACATTCACTACATTCACCAGTTTTTGGTCATAACCACACACACACACACACACACACACGCACCAATCAAGTTTAAAACACAGCAACCTGCAATTTGCTACAAGGGTGTTTTCTTTCCTGCCACATTCTGTCAGCTCTCATTCATTCTGTAAATCACAGTTCAGCTTTGAGCACAGTGGCTGTGTGCAACCCTGGGCCCAATTTTTGAGGTGAAAATCCAGTAGAGGAAAGACTACAATTTTTTTTGCTCCCAGAAAACTGATGTCTGGCAATAGCACAGCAAAGTCATCAACAGTGCAGGAGGAAATATGGATAGTTGTCTACTGAGAGATATTTTGCCTCTTCTACAGGATTAAGATTGCTTTTCAGTAGAGATCCTACACTACTGTTCACATAGGCATTGAATAGATAGGATTGGAGAAAAGGCATTGGATTAGATAGGCATTAGAAAAAGGTTGTTTTTTTTTTCTCACACCAAATAAGTACTGAAAGGGTAACACTAGAAGAACAACAGAAGCTGCTTTAAAACTACTTTTTACACTCCATTATTTTAGAACATACTCTCAGGAGTGACATATAATCATACAATCACTCAGGTTGGAAACAATTTTAAAGATCACCAAGCCCAACTACAACCTACCTGTACTACCCTAACAACCCTCCGCTAAATCATGCTCCCCGAGCACCACATCCAAATAATTTTTAAACACATCCAGGGATGGTTACCCAAGCACCTCCCTTGCAGTGCTTAACTATCCTATCCAGAAAGAAGAAATCTCATTGTGATCTCAGTGTAATCCACAGGAACCTTTAAATTAGATTGTCTATTAAAATATAAGAAGGTATACAGAGTGCATACAGGCCCCTATTTTACCTGAAACCATGGCCAAAGTACTACTCAAAGTGAGTTTAGGTCATAAGTATCTTGACAAGAATAGGACTGTCCATGCTAGAACAGTCTTTCAAAAATCACATGCAAATGTACACCTTGGTCTGATTCACCTGCTTATATGAAGATCTCAGATCCTTGAAACAGGTGCTGGCAATTGCAGGCTTATCTGGTCATCAAGCTGTTTGACTTCTGAAATCACCTTCTAGATGTCTGATGCTAAGGAAACTCCCATTTCCCTGTGTTAGATATACTGGCTTTTGTTAGACTTTTGTCATGCACCCGTCTAACTGTACATTTAAGATTTCAAAAAATATCTTAATTCCATCAAATAAAATCAAAATAATGCAAAAACACCCCAGATCCCAGCAGTTGCTCTCCTACATATTCTGAAAAACAAAATAAAACAAAAAAAAGCCCCATAGAACAACTTCTACAATTTTATTTTTACACAACACTAGTTTGAACAATCACAATGGAAGTGCATTGTGGATATGTCTAGAACATTTCTAAAGCATCAAAAAATACTACTGTGAAAGAAAGTACTGAAATAACTACTTGTATTAGGATGGCAATTAGCTGGCTTCAACAAAGTCTGCAGTTGTTCCAAAAAATTCCTGTGCACTTAGTTTCATCAGATCATAATAACATGTTGGGCTTTGGTTTGCTTTTATGAGAATGACTGTAATTTCTCTTTATTCGAGGAAATTGGTAGAGGGTTGAACAGACAGTAAAGAGTTACCATTTTGGGAGACATTTTCTAGCTATATTAGGCAAGTCACACATGCACGTTGCTCTTCCTCCTAATTATTTCTATGGAAATGACAACAGATACAAAGAACACAAAAACACTATTTGATGGAACAAATTCTCACCTACAAAACACTATTTTCAAGATAGTCATCACCATTAGCAGTGCATTTTCACTAGCAATGAGTAAGAGCCCACATGCCCCGCTCACAAGAACCTGTACCAGTGGAGGTGACTTACTGTCACTGTTGCCACTGCTGAAATGCACCACCCATCACCTCACTGCGCTCATACCCACTGTTTGGTCTCCAGAAACATTCAGCAAACATCAGTGAATGTCAGTAGGTGCCATTTTTTTTCCTCAAGAGGGAATTAAATTCCATCCTTTGCTCCATATACACTTCCATCTCAGACACCAATTTGTCAGAGTTCCCCTCTGCTGCCGTCACGTGGCAACAAGATGTAACAACATATTAGCAGGAAGGTTCAACCTCCACTGGAATACCACCAACATCTGCCTCTGATGTCACGGGCATAATAAAATAGGAGATGTTATTTTTGGAGCAATCCCTAAACTTAATTAAGTCAAACAAACAAAACAAAAATAAAGCAGAAACTAAGGATTAAAAGGGAGTTCAGAGTTTTGAGACCTAATCAACTGGAATTTCTCCTCAGTAAAGAAGTTCTGGCATAAACTGAAGACAGTTTATCTGTCTTGCCAGCAGCAAACCGGTAGAACTCTGTGGGTATCAAGCAAGTCATACTGAAGAAAAGCAACATAGCAGCCTTCCTGCTCTTTGCAACTTGCTGATGCTCATTTTTAAACTGGTCAATTAAAACTGCATCCTTTTTTATTTCAGTATATAATTAATGAATATAAAGGTGCTATAATTATGAACTTTACCAGAAATTTTGGCTAAGTAGGTTATTATACCAAAAAGAGAATAGAGAGAGTGCTTACCCTTGTTCTGGGCTCGCTGTAAAACTCCAGAGGAGGGATCTCCAGAAAAAGAACCTTCCCCACTGGTAGCCAGCTCTTAAATGGGTCTAGGAGAGGTGGAACCAAGCTCCACTCCTTCCGGCAGCACAGGTGAATTGCCTTCACTTGTGGTCCCAGAGCTGACTCATTGCTCACCTCAGGTGATCAATCAGAGGTTCAGGCCATGATTCAGCAGTTCCCATACATACAGATTAGCAACATTCAGCTTCACTAGTTTAGTAATAAGTAGCACTAAGTAAACACAGTCAATCTGTTGTAAAAATTAGACGTGATGTTTCAGAGCTATCCTGAGAAGTGCTGCTGCACGTTCCATAAATATTTTCAATAGAGAACTTTTCTGCAGTTTATTAACCCCATTTGTAGTTGTCATGAAGGGACAGAATGACCATAAATCCCTGAATACTTTAGAGTATTTCACTTTCTGCTGCTGTAGCTAGGCACGTCGTAATGAAATCAGCATTGCAGCTCATTGCAGACTAAGCATTTGCTCTTCTGTGGTGTGACTATGGTGAAGCATGTTCCCTCATCCACAGTTGTTGACAAGTGTTAATTTACCCAATTTAAATTTTGAGGGACAAGCTTTTTAGGAGGGGGACATCTGAGTGAGATGGATGCACAAAAGAAATGCCATAGAATTGCAAGCTTCCATCAGACGTGATGTGATCAACAGTCTTACATGCTACATATGTTCTATAAGCTAACAAATCTGTTAGATAGTTCTCTTAACATTCTCTTGTCACATTAAGAATCCACGGCACACCTGCTTTTACAAAGCTCTGTTATGCTCAGATGCCCCGAAGTACTACATTCAACAAAGATTTCTGAGATGTCCTTGAAATACTGGTGTGGGTGTAATGGTGACTAACTGCTCTGAATAACCCTTATTAGCTGTTCTCCAGTTTTGTTTGACTATAATATTTAATTATATGTCTGACACTTAACACTTCCAGGAAAAGAATTTACTGAATACTTGCATGGAAAATGATGGCTAAAATAATTTCTCTGCCTCCATGTAGGGGAATTTTTGATGTCCTGGAGCTGAACAATTTAAAAACACTTGCATGTAACACAATTATGTAATTACATCAACCTTTGGGCTCTGAAACTCTTCAGATTTAAATACCACATGACTTATTTGTGGTGTGAGTGTCCATCTCTACAATCCCTTCAAAAATATACCAAGACACAGTGAATCTGTTATCCTTTTATAAAATGTATTATCTTCTAGCCACCAATAAAACGGCAGTGTGAGAAAGGGTAGTGTTCGGTGTGTAATTAAAACTCCCACTTCAGCTATGTCACATTTGGTCTGAACTTTGTCTTTTTAGGTTATGAACTTACTGCAGAATGATCATGTTTTCTGGTTACTAAAGGTTGCAGTGGGATACAGTTTTTTTAATCAGAGATTGTTCTATAATGAAAATATTTTCCTTTCCATAAGAATTCATTCTTCTAGAGATCTAATTCTGCAGTTTATTCTGCACAAGCAGTTATGAAGAAAAAGATGGATTGGAGTCTGATGAGAGAATGTGACGTAGCAGGTGGAAGGGGAGCACAGCACAGGAACAAAACCCAGAAAGTGCAGTTTCAGGAGCTATCACACGTGTTTGCTAACAGGCTATAAAGAACTATTAATAGAAAGACTTGTGCAGCCCCTGTTATTAGGTGGCAACATGCTCTGAGCCCAGTGGTAATGGAAGCATTGACAGCCTTATACTTGGTATTGAATGGCCCCATATTACTCTCTTTCAGGCTTCAGTTTTCCTCATTGTAAGGGAATGCTTTGATGAAAGGAGTAATAACTAGAAATAAAGGCATGCACAATTTATGTAGAAGTGGAGCTGTACTTGCTGGTTAACTTGCTGCTGTTTCTCTCAGTGTAGTTTCAAACAGGCCAAAGAGATATCTGTAGCAAATTTGGCTTTGCCATACCTGGGCACAAAGGCCAGTATCTTTTCAAGTGCTTCTGTGCTGTTGGTAACTGAAATAAAAACTCATGAGGCAAGAAAATAAGTGTAGAAATCTCTGTATAATCTAGAAACAAATACTGTTTCTACTGGAAGTCTTTGTACCTCAAAACTTGATATATAACATATGTTTAAGATTTTAATACATTTAAGAAATCAATTTAAGACACGTTTTCTAACATTTGTTGTATGAGAACAAGCAGTTCATGTTCTTCAGGTATAATAAGGAGTTGAAAGGATTGCATTAGACTTCGGTGAAAATCCTTATTCTTTTTCAAGATTACAATTAGCACAACACCTGCAGACACCCTACATACATTTTTGTCATTCAGAGCTGATACATACCAGATAGGAGCTCTTTACTTTTCTCACATTTTGTCCAGATTCAGTAGATCCATATGGCTTCAGCTGGGAGAACAGAACATAGAGATTGCAGTCAAGTGTCCTTGAACATTTTACATCCTGAAATAAAGTAATATTGACAACCCTTTATTACAGTCTCTTAACATAATAGTTCATAGCATACCTAAGAAACTGGATTTTCTGTCCTGCCTGACAGTAGATCTTGGATTAGTCCTTTTATCCTGTGATTTTCTGTGGTTAAGGAATTGATGTGAAAAGTTCAAATTTTCAGTAATAAGAGGCAAACAGCATCAAGTGTATCATAGTTCTTTTTGGGAATTATGTAAATAGATAAATAAATATATATGGAACAGGGTGAATCATGCTCTACTGACGACACTGACTCCAAAAAGAGGCACCATGCCCCAGATGTCATACCTATAGTACATAAAGATCAGGTTGGGGAAAATGAGCGCCTCATGCTCCTATGTACAGAATAAAAGATTTCTTAAGATTCTAAAATTTGCCTGCTTTCTGCAACTAGTTCCTTCTGGAGTCCTTTTGGCTATCCTTCACATTAATCCCTATGCTTATACATTCTCCACATGATCCGAAACCTTGCAAAGTCTCTTTGAAAACTCCATCTAGGTGAAAACTCTCCAGTATTCTTTGCTCTAGAGTGAAATAAGACATTCGGCTCAAGATGATTTAATCTTTTTGTGAGTCTATGGAGAAGCATTTCTTGAAGTTTTTTCAAAGAGTTTTCATTTTTCTTTTTCCTTATAAGTGCTATTTTTCTTGGACAATTGCTTCAGCATTTCTGACATTCTTCAACACTTCACAAGGGGAAAATTAGCTATTTTCCACAACTGAATGAAATAGTTTCAGCTTTGCAGAATTCTTCTTTAACGTGGTTTTCTCCTTCACTGTCTCTGCAAACAATACTCTTGTGAATTGCTTCCTGTTTTGAACACAAGTTTGTGGACCAACTCCTTTTGTGCTTCTCATCTACTGAGTATTCTGGCTTTGGGACTAATGTAACATGTAATTCCCATCATGATGGTGGCCAATATCTGTCTTCTGGAAATGCAGCATCACTGGTGATTCATTCTGTTACCTTCTTATTAAGTACTAAGTGTTTATTAAGATAGGCTGGTGAATTTATATGTATTAAAAGAAAAAAACTTTGAATTCTATAAAACAAAGGCTAAAGTTTAATCAAAATTTATTATTCTTTCCTATTTCTTCTTCTTTATTATTAATATTATTCTCTATTCTTTACTATATCCAAGCTCCAGTCCTGACACTCTTTAAAAAAAGCATGGAAAAAAAGAGCAAAGTTAATTTTTAGCCAAATTCTTTTATACAACATTGCTAACAGCAGTGGACTTGCTTTTAGTGGAAATAGGGAAACAAAATGAGTTTCAGTAGCCTTCATTTTAATAGTCAGCTATTAAAAATATGTCCTTCTCCACCAGTGGCCTCTCTCATGCCTTGTGCTGATCTGTTGCACTCTGTCCATGGTTGTAATACTCTACTCTGGATCTGAATGGACACATTACATTCATCTCTGTCTGGAATAACTACATTTAGTATTTAAACATTTTTAATATAGCAGAATTCTTCGCCAGATGTTCCTCCTCTTGGGGAGCTATTTAAAATGTTTGATTGCCTGCTCTTCAGATCTATCTCACATCGCCAATATCTTCCCAGATATTACTAGCATATATGCTGAGGCACAAGAGTAAATACAGTTTCTTGCCAGATGTATGACAACAGAATCAGAGAGGATCCAAAAATGTGTCATCCACAGAAAGCTTTTGGATCAAAATGCAGACAGGGCCAAGGCAGTTCATTTTCCAGTTAAATAAATCTAGTGGCAAGGGGACAGAAGGGAAGCCTGAAGAAGGGATAAATAAACACTGGCAAGCTGAGAAACTTTTTTTAGGTGGTCCAAATGTAATGGTAAAATTCTTAGCAAGGCACATTTCATAATGTCCTGAAAAATAGTTTAAATCCTTTCCTCCAGGCTCTGATTTCCTTGCGTACTTGAGACACTCTGTGCTCTCAGATTGTTCCTGGGCATACCTCATGTTTTGATGTGCAAATACACCATGTATGTGGTCACAGTGAGTGTGCATTAATCAGCCTCTGCACAGCAGAACACAGAAGAAGGATGTACACGTCCTTGGGGTTAGTGGCAGCTTCTTGGTCAGATGTGAAGCTTCTCTCTCCCTTATCCAGCCCCTCTCATTCACACCACCAAACTCAGAGAGCAATCAGATAGTGGATAAAAAGCTATTTCCCAAGACCTCCATGCTGATGGTCGATCCTTGCAAAGCCTCCCAGATCTGGCACAAGCAGCCTGTTGGGCCCACTTAAAAGTGAGAGGATACTCCCCAAGAACAACTCTGCTTGTTCCCCTCTGCAAGCCTCAGCATTTGTCACAAAAGGTTGTTGCTGAAGTGTATGAAAATCTGTGGTGTATTCAAGAATACAGATGTAAAATAGAATTTATTTCCTTCTGTTCAGAAGATGATTTATTTTAGTGACAGAAAGATATTCTCCAGGATATGAAGGGGACTGCAAATCTGCACACTCCTAATAAACTCGTCTATGTTTATTAATTTGTAAGACTTACACAAAAACACACACTGACAAAAACACAGTCAGTCTCACAGAAACAATC